AAGAAACTGACAGACTAGTAGATTGCTAATGAAAGGAAGGATGGAGTCAGGAGGTCTGGGGTTAAATCCTGGCTCTTCCAAGTCCCAGTGGTGGGACCTTGGCCAAGTCAATTCATCTTTCTGACCCTCGGTTTCCTAGACTATAAAAGGAGGATGATGATAGACACAGACGCACACCTCCCTCATGTGTGTGATATCAACATGTGTGATAAGTGTGATATCCACACGCAACATGAGCTGCTATTATTACTCATGTTAATAAGAGGAAGGGGAAAAGAAGCAGAAAAAAGACACAGGCTTAGGGAAAGGGAGCCAGGCTCAGTAGGTGCCAGAGGGTTCCTGCAGGTTCACCAAGCTCACACAGGCTTCAGAGGGTTATCTCTAACATTGGAGAGATAATCAGGGGATCCGGAAATATCTGTGAAATCATGAAAGGCAGAAAAAGGCCAAGGCAGGAGGAGAATCCAGTATACACTTAACCATGAAGAGGAAACAGGAAGGCAAATAAATGGACAAAGAAAGACTCCTGATGGGCACTTGGAGGAAGTCACGGAAGGACTGTCAGGCTGTTTCATATGTGAGATTCATTTATTTAAATGCAAAAAGATACTAGGCAAGTTCAGTAGGTTGTTTTGATGTTCCATGCCAATTTCAGTAAAACATTAAAATTTTAAAAGATAAGTAGGTGATTAAGCACGGGTCACAGCTCTTCAATTATCTTTTATTATCATTAAGCCTCCCAGAATCCATGGGGAGAAATTATTCTATGGGCTACCGGAAGCAATCACCAGAGAAAAGTAGATCAAATCAAGTTGGTTTAAGCCATAGGTTAGAGGACTTTTTAGTACTAGGACCAGACTCACAAGGAAGATAGCATGACATAGCAGAGTGGCAAATATAAAGTCCAAAGACGGGGGTTTGCATCTACCAAGTACCCATATGACCTCTCTAGGACTTGGTTTCTTAATCTGCAAAATGAGGGGATGGGACTAAATGACCTCTTACAGATGGGAGGAAGGGGAGCTCTTGCCGGTCATCCTGACCTATGTCTCGCCACTGGATTCCAGTGACCCCTGAGGAGAAAGGCTGATGACTTTGCACATCTCTGCCTCCCTTAAAGCCAATTCACTTGCAAGTCAAGCCATCACCCTCCTTGACGAACAATAACAACAATCTTACAGATCATCTACACTCCTAATTTTACACTGGAGGAAATTGAGTCGAGAAGAGGCAAAGGTTATCTAACTCATAAATGGCAGAGCTAGGATTTGAACCCCCAGGTTTTCCGATCCCAAGTCCATGGCTCCTACTACTTAATACCATCATCTCTGATATTCTATCTTTGGAAAGAAAGCTTTCCCCTACCCACAACGGCTGAAAGCTTTCTATTAAGAAATTGAGTACTCCAAAGAAAACAACAGCTTAGAGGGCATAGAAAGAAGGAAATGTGACTTGATTTGAAAACTACATTGAGCTGTCTTATCAAATTGTAGCACCCCTACTCCACCCCTCAACTGTTCCTTCCCATGTTACTGCTGCACCAAGGGATGATTATGCGGCCCCCACTGAGTCAAATTCTTGAGGAGGCCCTGGCACCATTTTACCTTCTCAAACTAGTCTAGGGCTAATTTGAGATGTCAAAAGTGACTCCAAACTCATTCAGACCTTCTGTGAACCAATCCTAACCCAAATTCTCCAACCTTATCATAAGGAAAATAAATATCACATAAGAAAGACATATTTTAATATTTTTGACTTCCAATAGAAGCATACTATTAGCACCTTATTTGGAAGTCCAGGCCCCTTTCCTCCTCTCCTTCCTTAGTCCTTAGTATCCAGCTATTGACTCTCTTTTGATGGTTACAAGGGGTCCATACAATCAGATTTCACTCATTCACCCTAACCAGGGGAAAGGCCAGTCTGAGTGATAAATCACATGCCAACGAGCCATCATGCTGTAAGGTAAAGAAGAAAGAAGCATTGGTCTAGTCATGAAGGATTCTAGCCAAAGGGATCTCAGAGATCATCTCATTTCAAAGCCTTCATTTTACACATAAGGAATCTGAGGTCCAGAGAAGGGAAGGGATCACCCCAAAATGCACAGCTAATAAGAAATAGGATGGAGACTCAGATCCTCTGACTCCAAATTCACTGTCCTTGGCTGTAACCCTTGGGCAAATCATTTCACCTCCTTAGGCCCCTGTTACTTAATTTGTAACATTAGGGGGAGAGGGGTAGATATAATGTTTGTACCACCTATGTCACAGAGCTGCTATGAGGATAAAATAACATATGTAAAATGCTTTATAACAGTAAAAGTACCATATGATGATGAGCTGTTATATTAGCTTTGAGGACATAAAATCACCCTGATAACCAGACTGGGAAAGGGAGGTGAAGACTATGTACTCAGAGAATCCTTTTACCAGATGTTAATAAGCTCCTATTGCTCAAAGGCTTCAGTGGGCTAACATTTCCTTTATTCGGACTCTTCATTCACTGAGCCAACCTGCACTTTTTCTCCTACAGAGGAAGGATGACAAAAGGCTCGGCTGAACAGATGAATACCCTAAATGAGGGTACTGTTGGCAGAGAGAGCTCTTGTCACCTGGGGTGTTAGCTGCTTAGGCCCACTTAAGTCTCTAAACAAATAAAATCCTGGCTAACAAGAGCTCTGTATGTGAAAGCCACTTCCATGTAACAGTCAATCAGATGACAATCCATTCTGCACAACAAATATCTATTTTTTCTGATCCCAGCTTGCAAAATGTAACACTCCATAGGACTAACTGTGCCTGGTCTGTACAGTATTGTATTGTAGTGGGAAGACAGGGTATGGACAGAAGAAAGGAGAGCTGAAAAGTTTTGTTTTGTTCTGACTCTTAAAATAATAATAGCAGCTCACATTTCTATAGCGTGTCTCTTCAATAATCCCACTAATCAATGTTATAACCCCCATTTTATAGCTGAAGAATCTGGATTGGAAAAGTTAAGTAATTTTCCCAGGGTCAAAGGGTTAGCTAGTAAGTGTCAGAGTGGAGGACCTGAACCTGGGTCTCTAGACTATTAAGACCAACACTCTTTCCAGCTGCTGCACTCCCAAAATGTTTTCTCTCCCCACACCCCAATCAAACATCCCAATCACCACCCTTCTGAAAACCTTAGTTGAACTATGTGACTTCTGATATCCCTTCCAGCTCAAAATCTACAGCATTCTGGCTTTGGGAAGAGGAGGGTACCAGTGAGGGAAGGTTCAAAGAGGTTTTCATTTGCTAATTTACCCAGGGGAAACTGCTTGGGTTTCATGTCATCTCCAGGTGCTCCAAACTTAGAATGAGATTTCTGCCTTCCCCTTAAAGGCTCTTTCCCCTAACCCTAACTACCAAGCAGATGCCTCCCTGCTACCCCAGGTGCACAGAGAAGAGAAGGCACTGGGTCTGCTCATCCACACAACTCCTTTCTCTCCAGCTATGTCACACACACACACACACACACACACACACACACACACACAGAGCTCTGTAGGCAGTCATAGAATGTTAGAACTCAAAGAAGCCTGAAAAATTATAGAATCATGGAAGTATTTTAGAGGTCATCTAGTTCAACCCCACTCATTTCACAGATGAGGAAACTGAGGCGCAGAGAGGTAATGTGAAATCTGGATCAGGAGGATGTGAAGATCTAGCAAATGCTCTTTTACAATTGGGGAAACTGTCCCCTTGTGTCTTCATTTCCTATCCTCTTCCCAAAAAAAGAAAATCCACTTAAACCATTCATCCCATTCTTTTCTACCAATTTATCTTCAGAACCGCTACCACTACCAAGCAAGGACCACCCCAGTTAAAATGGTACTCTTGTAACATGAGATCAAGCCTAGGAGAGGCAGCTTAAAATAAAAATTATTCCCAGTAAGTGCTAGGCTTGTCCTCACTGATCTTCCAGGGGAGGGAGGGAAGGGTCAGGGGCCCTTTTAACACCAGCCAGCTTCCACCGTGCTCTCCAAATACATCCCTTCCCTACTGATGCAGAAATCAATTCAGGCAAGCAGGCCTTGTGACCAAAAAAGAGCATAGAGAACTCACTGTTTCAAGAAATTCAAAGGCTCTGCCCAAACATGCTGAGAAAACCCTGGCTTTTGACGAAACAAGCCGAGCACAGCAGGGTCCCCCTTCCACTTTTATGTGGCAATTTAATAGTGCAATAAATTTCTCTCCCTCCTTAAAGAAAGCATGCACTGGTGGATTTCAAAGACATCTGATGACAACGGCCGCATCAGGGCTGCAGAATTCTGTAGCTCATGTCAGTAGGAAGACTGGCACAGTCAGACACAACCTTTGATGGATATCTGGAATGGAGCTATCATTTAACCAGGGAGGCCACATCAGAAAACTGCAATATTGTGTTGAGAGCCGCTCTGCCAATCCAGACAGTTGTATTATTTTCTTCCCCTCCATGAACTGTTAAAAAAGACTTTCCTCCCGACAAGTGGGAAGAGGGACTCTGGGTGGGAGGCGGGGTGCAACTAAGCTCTTTATGATAGCAATGAGACTGATGTCCAGTCGGTTGTCGGTCGGTCTGTCTCGCTGCTCCACCAAAGTATTCAAGGAACATCTAACCCAGGGATGCATGCTTGGTTTACAGCGCCCAGGGCGGGCAGGCGACGCTGACAATCGTGTCATCAATGGAGACGCCGATGAATGAACACCTGGGATGCTAGCACCAGAATCTCCCATCCACCCACCCAAACCATTCCGCCTCTCTCGGTCTCTGTTGCAGCTGGTGTGGAATTCTCTACCTACAGCTTTACTTCACAATGCAAACCCACCCCTCCCGAGCTCCGGAGCTCCCCCCACCCATCTATTTTGCAGGATGAACATTTCCCTCCACTGCCACCTTCCTCACGGAGGACTGACACCCCCTCCCTCCCCAAGCGGCCGGGGTCTTCGCAGGAGTCCCTGGGAGCAGCCCGAGAAGAGCCCCGTCTGGGGCTATCATTTTACCTTTCCACATACTACGTGCTGCTGTGGCCCCGGGAAAGGGGACCTGGAGTCCCCTCCACCAGATGGCCTTTCGAAAGCACCTCCTCCGGGCGCTCCAGACAAAGGGATTCCTAGCTGGGGGGGTGGGGGGCCGCGCCCAGGGGCTCCAGGACCCTCCGCAGTAATCCGAGGGAAAGTTGCGCGCGCGCGCGCAGAGCCCAACCAGGAGCCCGGGGCGGGAGCAGGAGCAGAAGGAGGAGGATTTACCTTGGTGATGCAAGCCCGTGCCCTTGCTCCCCTAGCACTCCATGCTGCAGCTCGCCCTGCTCTGTTTTTCTGTGACACAGAACTGACTTCACCGACACATGAGCCGCGGGCCAATGGGCGGCTGCGGCCTCCCCCTCATTAACATGCATCTGGAATCCTCCACTCGGGCCGAGCCTGGCCGGCGGGAGGAGTCGGTCCTTTCCTCCGCTCGTGGCAGTGACAGGAAGGGGCGTGGATGCCAATGGGAATCGAGGAAGCCGCCGAGCCTGCCCAGCCTCCCCGGCTCATTGTCAGACTCCTCGGGGGCTGCTGCTACTAATGTTTATTCCCCAAAGATAAAAGCGAGGGAAGGGGTGTTGTTACTCCTTCCTGGCGTGAAGGCTCCAGACTCGGGATCTCTTAAAAATACTTTGCTGTCTGGCCCTTCAAGCCTGCGTAGACTTGGACTGGGACGGGGACCTGCCCTTGCATTCAGGGGCTGGACGTGAAAACGCTCGGAGAGGCGCTGGAGCGGACACACGTTTAGAGCGCCGAGGGACCTCAGAAGGGCATCTAATCCAACCCCCCTCACTTGGCAAATGAGGAAACTGAGGCCCAAAGTAGCATTAGTCCTGGTAGTGCGTGAAAGAGTTGGCATTTGAAACCAAGTTCTGTGACTCCACATCCAGGATTCCATCCAGGGCTCCATGGAAACCCATTTCCCACAGAAAGAATGGCATACTTAATAATTATGACATTTGAGTAGCAATGATATCAATGCATGTAGTTCTCTCCCACAACAACCCCTGAGGCGAGTATTTATCAAGCCAATATATCATCCCCATTTTACAGATAAAGGACCTCCGGCTCAGAGGCATTACCATCCCTAATCTGCCCCTGGCTCAGGGATTTCTCTGCGAATACCTCCAGTCAGCCTATTCCTTGCCCCCTCCCCAAACACACACCAAGAACTCCCTTTCTCCTATGATCTTAAGAATTTAGGGAAATTGAAAGATCTTTGGCTTGCAAAGAGATTGGGAGCGTCAGTGGTAGATTTTGTGGTATAGGTTGAGCTAAAAATAATAGTGCATTGGGATAGCCAAGGAAGGTTTCTGGAATTTGAGAGGAGCCCTGAAGAATGAAGAACCAGGGTCCAGGACCTGCTCCAATACAGATCCCGACTATTCCATGACTTACAGTCTTCGAGAAGTGCCTGAGACTAAAAGAGCTTGAGCAACTTGACCAGACCACACAGCTAGGAAATATAAGAAGATGTAAACCCAGGTCTTTTCCACTCAAAGTCGGATTCTGAAGCCCAGCTATCTCTATGGACCACAGCAATTTGCAACACTTTTACAAAACACTTTTAGGAGGCAGTAGGGCATAAGTAGAAAGCTGGCTTCAGAGCCTAGAAGACCTAGGTTCATCAAATCCTGCCTCTGACACAGCCTGGCTGTGTGACCCTGGGCAGGTCACTTAACATCTTCTCTGAGAACATCACAGAAATTAAGACCCAGCAAAAGTGCAGATCCTTGACAGGCTTAATTAAATGGTAGGCTAGGGAAATATCATAGTTTACCTAGACGTTAGCCAAGTATCCTTAGCACTTGGCATGGTGCTTAGTACATTGTAGGCATTTAATAAATGTTTATTGACTAACTTTAGTTAAGTATTACGTGTTATTTTTGTGGAAAACATGTAGGGATGTGACAAAGGTGTCAAACTCAAATGGAAACAGAGTCCACCAAACCAACATATAATAGATTGTATATCAGCTTAGAAAACCATATATTAACATTATCTGTGTTCTATTGCATTTTTATTTATTTTGTTAAATATTTCTCAATTACATTTTAATCTAGTTGGGCTCTGTGTGTGTGTGTGTGTGTGTGTGTGAGAGAGAGAGAGAGAGAGAGAGAGAGAGAGAGAGAGAGAGAGAGAGAGAGAGAGAGAGAGAGATACCCCTGGGCTGGGCAATACATACATTCTGAATTGGTTGAATGCCCTCACTCAAACTACAGTTAATGGTTGAGGCAGCATAGCAGACCAAAGAGAGTTAGCCAAGGAAACCTGAGCTCAAGCCCTGTCTTTAACATATACTGCCTGTATGACCTTGAGTGAGTCACCTAACCTCTCAGTGTTCTAGATAACTCTAACACTATAAATTGCATCGATGGTACTGACCTGGCTGGCAGAGGGAGTTTCTTCATGTGGGAGTTCCCTATACCAGTAAAATCAAATATCCAGTCCCTATAGCATTTTTGCTTTTTTATGTATTTTCATATATATTATCACTTTTTTTTCCTCGAAGGGGACATAGTATATTGATCAGCAGAGAGGAGACAGGTTGGAACTCAAGAGATTAAGAGAGAGAGAGAAGAGTAAAGGATTATAGGCACTAACACCCCCCTGGAACAAAGGGTTCATATTGGGGAGCAGTGGGAGTAGGCTGATTGCATAGGGTGGGACCAGATCAATAGAGTCTTACTGTTAGGCTGACTTAATCTGAAAGGGAGTCATAAATGGGAGATTGACAGGATCATAGAATGTGAAGATCTGGAAGGTCCCTTAGATCTTATCTAGTCTAATCTTTCACCACATCAATGGATCCTGTCCATAACATTCCTGACAGATGGTCCAACTAGCAGCCCTTGAAAATTTCCAGTGACAAAGGACAATTTGTGAGGCAGCCGGTCCCATTGTTGGACAGCTCAAATTGCAGGAAAATTCTTTGTCAATCTGATACAAATTCACCTACCTGTACTTGCTATCAGCTTGCACTTGCTGACAACTCCTGTGGAGAAGGTGCCAGCCATCCCTACCAACTGCCAAGCAATCACTCACTGTGAAGTAGGCAAACTAGCCCAGATGAGGGAGCAAGGCACCTTGGGACAGAGAGCCCAATTCCCTGAACCTGGCAATTGCCTTGGGAATGGCAGTGGCCTCCAACCCACTGATCCTGCTTCCAGCCTGGGTCCTGAAGCCATCACTGGGGAGAAATCACTATGGTAGAATCACAACCAGTGGTATAGTTAGCAGTGACTTGAAAACAGCGCTTCATAAATGCTTGTGAACTTGAAACCAACACCAAAAGCTAACAATTGGCTACTGCCAATTTCTACCACCAAAGGCCTTGGCACTGTCAAATGATTCAGCATCAGAAACTGCTATGATTTTTTCAATAGAAATGACATTTAAAAGGAGGCATTGACATCTGCTTTATTACTGTACCTTAAGGACCATGGGACAGGCCATCTGACTCACAGCTGAAATCTGTTTTCATCTCTCATTAGAATGTAAATTCCTTGAGAGTAGAGACTGTCTTACTTTTCTATTTGCACCCCCAGAACTTGGCATGCTACTTTGCCCGTAGTAAGGGATTAATAAGTCATTTGTTCATTTATTAGAACCTTCACTATACCAATGGAAAGTAGCTAATGAATTCTTGATTTGCCTTTGGTAATTTCATTCTTTAAAAGGTAGAGGAAATGAAAGAAACTGCTTTTCTGGACCTAATTAAGCTGAATAAAGTTGAATTTTTTTGATAGAATAGAAGTGATGGAGACTGTGTGGAAAAAAATTCATGATAGATGAGAAGAAATCTGGGCAAAGCCTGACACTCAAGATTTTTGGAGGGGTCATTTCATAGTGTTCAGGAAAAGGGTATGAATTCATGGCATAAAACCTCATAGCAGAAGGCAGTCAGATAGGGAGGGAAGTGCTCAAGGATGAAATGCTAATGGCATAAATACAAATAATTCCAATAACAAGTATAAGGGGTGAGGGAAGACTGATGGATGAATTTACTGAATATCTTATTGACAACTTAAGTTTTTAACAAATAGAAGCAAAATTAAGTCATTTTAATGAACAGCATGGTCTCAGGATGAACCGAGGCAGGAAAAGAAAGAACTTTTCAAAAATCGATGTTAGGGCCAAAAGGAAGACCAAAAATGGGATAGGACTAAAGTTCAGGGTGGATGGATTGATAATAATAGGTGTTTCAGAGAGAAGGTAGAATACAATTTTGATTCTTTCTCTCTGATAGGCAATGTAGCATAGTAGATAGAGCACTGGACCTACATTTAGGAAGTCAGATTCAGATCCTGCCTCTGACACTTACAAACTTTGTGATCATTTGCCCACACTGGGCCTCAGTTTCCTCATCTGTAAAATGGGGAAAATTTATGCTTGTCATGCTTAACCTATCAAGAGTTGTGAGGCACAGAAAAGATTATTTATGTAAAGCCCCTTGCAAACCTTAATGTGCTACATAAATGTCAGTTATTAATTTTGTGTTTGTCTATCCAAAAAATGATCTTTACACTAGGAAGGCTTGAACACAAATGGTTAACAAGGATTTGAAACTTAATGTCAGTGAAGAGATGGAAAGAGAGGACCTAGGTGTTCTCAAATGAGTTCGGATCACTGGACCTGAACAAACTACTTCCCAAAGTACTGAAAGAACTGACAGGTGTAATTACTAGACATTGACACTGACCTTTGAAGAACTAGAAAGAATGAGAGGTGCCTTGAAGCTGGAAATGGGCAGATATTTTCTAAAAAGAGAATAGGGTGGAGTTTTCCAGTAACATGCCAGTGAACCCGACTTGAATTTTGACAAAAGTCTAGGATATATTATTAAAGTGATGGTTTATGAGCATTTAGACAAGGAAGTAGGAATCGTTAAAAGCCTAGAATAGCTTTATCAGGAGCTGGCCATGCCAGACTAACCTCATTTCCTTTCCTGACAAGGTTACTAGACTGGTAGATCAAGAGAATGGCATACACCTCTGGAGTGGGGGGTTGGCTTGGAACACATACTCCATTGAGTATGCATGGAGCTGAGCAGAACTCCCCTGGGACGATAAAGCAATCACCATGGGTCAACATGGCAGCAGCAAGGAGTGCCCATGTCAAAGAGAATT